GTGTGTGTGTGTGTGTGTTTGAGCTACAAAGCTGAACCTTCAGCTCAAGACAAAATATTGTGAAACCATTTAACATATTCACAGTGATATTAATGTGTCAAATGCAAGAATGCAATCAAAATCAAAGCTGCATCATCAAACAAGAAAGTACATCAGAATCAGAAACAAACAGTGAAAATACATCAATTCACAAACACAGCAATAAACACAAAGTAGTGCACTGGTGAAGGTCTATGGGGAGATTACAACCGGATACAAAGTGAATCATTCCTTTTTCTGGTGTCCTTTTGGATATCATGCAAAAATGACCTGCTTATTAGGATTTACACGACTGTTCAAACGTTTGGGGTCAGTAAGATTGTTTAATGTTTTTGAAAGACGTTTCTTCTGCTCACCAAGGCTGCATTAATTTGATCAAAAATAGAGATAAAAGTAAAATTGTAATAAATTATCACTGTGAAAATGTTTTTACATTTTTTTGTTTGTTTGTTTAAAAAAAAAACAGCATTTATTTGAAATATAATTTTGTAACATAATATTGCATTATATCGTAGTATATGCCACCTTTCTGAATAATAAAAAAAGCAAAACAATTTTGAACAGTAGTGTATTTCCATGAAACACATTCAGAAAGTTGAACCAGAAACTCACTCACTCTGACATTTTATGATCGTTTTGTTTTTTATGATTATTTTCTAATAATATGTGATGCATTTTGAACATTTATTCCTTAATTTGTGTTTAACTTTGAACATTCTTCATGCAACCCACCTGTAAGGTAATGAAGTTAAACAGCAGTCACATCATGCATTTATTTCGACACATTATAGGAGGCTTAAGTAGAATTCGTCATTGCTCTTTGTTTGAAGATGCTAATAAAATCAGATTATTTCTAACACATATATATATATCCCTTCGAGACATGACAGTAACATGACATGAACTGCTGCCACTGTGACAGATGTTAATGAGCTCAATAATTATCATGTGTAATCCAGCACATGCATCCCTCAATCTCAGAACTTAACACATTTACTGATTTACCAAGGAAGCATTGATCACCAAACAATGACAAATGGCATAAATTAGATTTCAATATCGTGTGAAACAGGGCAAATGCTCTCGATGTTAACATTACATATCCTGCATAGCAAACAAAAACATTCTCTAC